TTATTATTATTATTATTATTATTATTATTATTATTATAAGCATTTATTTGTATTCTTGGTTAAGTAAGATTAAAAACGAGCTAGTTGGACTGAAGTTTGTTTCTCATTTGTAACCCTCCTTATGTCTTTAAGTACCTGTGACTTTTTCTGCATTGTCGTTAATATCCTTCTTGTACTTGTGACTGTTGGTATGGGTGTTTTCGCTATTTAAGGCACTCTCAGTAATGGCAGATCAATAAATCCATAAATATGACCCAATAGATTTTTCTGTCCGTGCGCTTAAGGCGAGGGAAGCGTGAGCCGGGACTCGATACAGATTCAGTGTGAAATGTGAATTGTCCGTCCTGCCTTTAATCTTTCCTTCTGTCCGAATAAATCGCGTATTTATATCATATATTTTCGAAAGCAGTACTTTAGTGTTTTATATTGTGTAGACTACTCATTTTTTATTTTCAGTTTTTGCTTCTTTTTCCTGAAATAAATTATCTGTCGATTGAAGAAAGGGTTTGTAAAAAAAAAGGCAACAACACTTATATAGGTCACTCTTGTCTGAGACGCAACGTCATCGGGTGTCACACTGGCAAGTAAAACGAGGAAAGGTTTACACAGGGAAATGGGTCACATGTAATATTCTGTATGTAGTACTCGGCCCTTCTGCCTGCGTCTTTCTGTTTTGCAGGACGCGGCCGGCCTGACACCGCGAGACTCAGGCCAGATTGACACGTCCGGCCCGTCGGTTCTGGATCTTTCCACACTTTTTCGTTTGAGCCCCAAAATAAGGTGACGTCACTATTGCAGAACAGCAGAACCCTGCATTCCCCCTGTCTGCTCACGCGCTCTCGCCGCGTCGGTGCTCCAGGCGCTGCGGGAACGGGGCTTCTGCAGTCAGGGCAGGCGCCTCGCGCCCAGTTAGTGCAGAGCCCGCTATCTTCAGATTTCAGTCCCAACCCGAGCTGTCAATTACAAACCACAAACTTCACTATTTCTCTCCTTAACATATAGTTGTTTTATTTCCTAAAGTTTGCGTTACATACAATGGCTCAAAACACAAGCTTCCTTTAACGGTACAGCTGTAGCAATCTGAAACCTGCTCAGACGCATTACAAATATGCAGAAAAATGTGTAAGGCACGGTCCCAATAATTAGAAAAACTGTGTCACCGAGGTCTCGACCTGCACGCAAACCAGAAGACAGCAGGTTCTCCGGAAACTGAGATGGAGACCTATTATGGGTAAGAAACAATTCTCCACTGGCCGGATCCACACACTGGTGGCATCCAGAACTCGGTGCCGAACCTCGGAGAAGAGCACAGGCGGATTTCTGCCCGAGGACACGTTGAAAACTACTGCATTGGCGATATTTTGTGTTTCCATACTGAGACTTGCACATTTACCATCTGGGACAATAAAGGAAGGATAATAAGAAGAGAGCGCAGTCTGCTGTTAGGTCAAAAAAAGGTAACGCGACAATATTTTAATATCCCTTTCCCTTGTTGGATCATTAAAAGCCCGGTGTACATTACAGTGTATGACAAACTTTGTAATTGAAAAAAAGTTATTTAAAAAATAACGTGAGTTCATTTACTCCTTCATGGGAAAAGATATTTTCTTATGTTGTTCCTATGTTGTTCGTTTTGAAACATGTAAGCGCTAATTATTCTAAAAATTAAAGGTGCACCACACTTAAAACGCGGCTTTAAGCTTCTGTTCTTTCTTTATGTCTGTATTCAACCATTTATTCACGTTCTACTCATTTGCACTTTGTAGGTAATAATGTGCAGACTCGTTTTTTTCTGGAGGGGATGGGGGGTATATTTCTGTATTGAAGTTTCCAGCATGTTGAGGTCTTAATTAATCAGAAAAGCCCAGAACAGAGACGAAACCAGTCTTTCAGACAACAAAGCGCCACACGTTCAGATGCAGCAAAACAAGCTGTCTCCCAGGTGAGCTCGCGCTGTCTCAGACTTCCCGGCATGCAGCGCCCAAGGCCTGCAGGTTAAAGTCGAGCAAACTAGGGCAAACACTCAAATTAGTTTATTTTACATTTCATTGAAAGTACTGTCAAATGACATCTGACAGCGCTTCTGCCTGACTCTTGCTCTCAAGACCCACTGCAAACTTTCCTTGGAAGCAAATTGGGGATTTTTGTTTTTAATCCCAAACGTGACTTTTTTTTCCTTCCTCTCTTCGGTTATATGTTAAAATAATTGTGGACAATTACCTTGCCCTGTCGTTAAATGATGGCTCGGGATTAAATTTATTGCTGGTTGTGATGAATTAATTTCCTTCTCCGGAAAGACATGCAGTCAAGGGGAGAGGTCGGTGTCGTGACCAGTAGCGGACACAAGGTGGCGGTGTTGACTGCGTGTGTAAACACTGAGCAATGCGCCATCGACCGTCGTAAATGACAAACAAGCCTGATTTGTAAAACTGCAGTCGGATTGGATTGATCGGGCTGTAGCCAAGACACTAAATTTAACACACTCTCCAAACACAGAACATCCAGCAACTAGATAAAAATAAAACTCTGCTGCTAAAATAAGCGAATTATCGGACTTGCAAAGATTTTGCAAACATAAAACCTACAAAATGTCATAAGCAGTGCGCAACAAAATCATAGAAAATGGTGCAGGGAACGTGAAAATGTTAAATAATTTCTGAATCAGTCATTACAATTTCGTTCAACCACTATGAAAGACAAATCTACTGTAAACACGCTAATTTGTAGAATCTGATTTCCCGTACAAAGTTAAACAACTCTGAATTAATTAAAAAAACAATGAATTAAAAACCAAAGACATTTTAGAGAAGCACACGCCTTCTATAAAAGACCCACACTGTTTCACGATATTGAAGAGCGACCTGTTTTAACTGTTCTTCATTTTTCGTTTCAGAATGATAGACACAGCGATAGATGTCCCTACAACAACTTAATCATTTCTAATGGTTAAACTGTATTTTTCTGAAGTGGGGTTTTGGAACGATGCCCTCCACCCATCAAATAACAATAAGGAAAAGGAGTAATTTAGTATATACAGTTTATCTTTGTGTACAAATGCTTCGTACAAAATCTGGTTGGAAAGGGGCGAGCTGTGTGTGGGGGAGGTACTTCCATTTCTTACAGGAGATTTAGAAAGACATCGAAAATGATCAAATAATGAAGTCCGGTACTCCTACGTACACCAAGCTGAGAACGATTCGTTTAAAACAGGTTTCGGAATTATTCTCGCTCCTCTGCACCACAGGAAAATGTCATAACCCCCCCCCACACACACACACACACACCCCACCCCTGCCCAAACTATCTCTGTAATATTAAATTGAAAGTCCTGGGACTGCTGGCCCATAAAACCAAGAAATATTTCAGATTTGTCGTTGAGAGCGGCGCTACCGGTTCATTTCCACAGCTGTCTGCCTGTTAACGACAATCGTCCTACTCACACTCGGCGCTGCTCCGGACCTCCAATATTCTGAGTGTTCGACATAAAACTCAAACGCTATAAGAAATGTAATAAGTGTAAAATGGCAACTTCATCGCGCTCATCCCGTGTGCATGATATAAAACCAATTCAGGACAACGTGGCATGTCTCCACAAATACATATTGAAATGAAAAATGTTCGTGTATTCCGAACATAATAATAATACGTTTTTCAGCACAAAAGAGTACAACCTATCAAAAGCATCGACACTACTCCTGCATTTATATTATGGATACACACTGAAGAATAATCATGAACGTGAAACACTGTTAAAGAACCAAACTCTGACGTGCTTATTTTCTTTTAGAATTGCAAATGAAGGCCACACAAGCATGTCGTGTCTTCAACGTGGTACGTTTTAGAAACAAATATTTGTACTGCATATTATCACAGCGAACACGTGTGTTTTCATTTCAAAAGATAAACAGATATTTCGATGCATTTTATGAAAAAAAAAAGAACTAAACCTCTTTTCAACGAAAACATTCAGAGCAATTAGACCACGGATCTTTAAATCAGACAACACAGTTCCATAGCGCATTTTCCATGCCAAATAATTATTCCCCTTTACCGTCTTGAAACCTATTCTTGTAATAATTCCACAAAAGCGTGAATAAATGGTTATTTTTACTACAGTATTGTCTTTGTATCCAACACAAAATATTTCAGAAATCACCTCTGTTGATTGATAGTTAAACGTAATATTGCGATACGTTTCTAGTAGGGCTAGGCCTCTCTGTGGCACGCCGAAATTAGACTCTGATTAAGAGCTCTGAATTTAGTCACTCAAATCGACACAGATACTGTAACACAGTTGTCTGGCAACATTACTTACACAATATAAACTTACAGACCGCGCATTCCAAATACAAGCATTTCTCTCCCACATTTTACACAGAATTCCCGACCTAGTCTTTGGGTTGACTATGTGACGGATAGCCAGATGTCTACTTTAATCGCCTAAAAGCAGCGTTGGAATGTTTTCTGTATTTTTCACAGGACATAAAAATGACTCCAACATTCCTCCCTCCCAGACATCACGGGAAAGCGAACCGATTGGAGGTCGCTCGGTTCCCCAGCTCGCTGGGTCACTTTCCAGAAATGAATGCGTCCCGGCCCTCGCCAGAACAGAGGCTGGGGGAGAGACCGTGTTCAAGCCTCCAAAACAGCGAGCTGTATAATAGATTCCCCGCAAACTCTGGCCGAGCCGGCTTCAGGATTAACAGTATCGATCGGCCATAAACACCAAGAACACTTGGCACACCAATTACCGCTAATGAAGCAACAGTGTCATAAACCTGCAAGGGGAAAAAAAAAGTGCAAAGATAGTCACTACTGCTCGCGCTGATCCCCCATTTGCAAGTACTTGTTGTACCGAAAGAGATATATTTACTTCTATTTTTTGTTTTGTTCTATGTTAATTTTATTATTTTTATTTGCTTTGGCAACACTGATTGTACCCATCGGTCATGCTAATAAAGCACCTTGAATTGAATTGAATTGAATATAACAATAAATGATATAGAAATGGGGGTACTCTCCAATCGTAGCAGGAAAGTCTCAGTCGAGCCGTACGTGCAGACAGTGTATGTGAGCATTGTAATTAAATGTGCGTGTTAACTGAGCGCAAATTACGAAGTGTGGCAGTTCAGTAGTGCACATCGAAGACACCAGCGAACAAATGTGTGGAAATAAAAGACTGTCAGCGCTTGTCTAGCTCTTTATGGGTCTTTACAGGGTCTTTTCTGCATTGCTTCCTGTTGGCCAGCGCCGGCCCCGTACGCTCCACACTAAAACCCCTTTGATGCTGGCCTGCAGGCTGGCCGGACCCGGCGCTCTGCTATCTGCTAATTATCGCGCTGACATTTGCTACCACACCAGCGAAACGCCCGGAGGACACCGCGCGGGGTTCGACCAATAAAGTCAGTCCGGGGAAAGGGGCCAGGCGTGGAGAGGCGAGCGAAAGTCAACACGCAAAAGTGAAGAAAAAAAAAAGGAATGCAAAGGAGAAACTCGAGTATCTACAAAATACGAGTAAGACCACATATGCTCTGTGGCACAGACCCCGTCAGCTGTATTGCCATGCTCAACACACCATTTTTGTGGCTCCGTTCTTCCTTCAATACAGGGGAAAAAAAACCGTTGCATCATTACCAGAGCTCCCATGGATACGGGCCATTAGATAAACATTTAAACCAATAAGGAACGCTGAAATTTCCAACTTACCCCCGGTCTCTCGGCAGCTCGAGTGACGCGCGCTTGGAGGTCCTGAGACGAGGTCTGGAGGCGAAGCCGAGGTGAGCGAACCGCCGACTGCAAAACATCCCCTTATCGTCCGAGACGATCGCATCGTCGAAGAAGAAAAATGTGCGAAAAAAGAAGGTATTTACAACCCGCTGTTGCTCTGATCTCTCCCAGTCCTCAGCAGAACAAAAAAAGCGCTCAGCTGTTTCGCCTCTAGGGGCCGGAGGGAGAGAGAGAGAGAGGGGAGGCGACTGGATTAAAGTCATTACGAGCAGACAGGAAGGCCGGTGGAGCTGAAACTACACCTACCCCTGGAGGCTCCGCAGCACGGAAGAATACGTTCGTTTGGTTTTTAAAAAAATAAAATAATTTGTTCCTTTTCGAAAATAAAAGGAGTGTCTTTTTGGGCGAACCCGTTGTCGCTGACACCGGTTGGACTGCCGCGGAGGACAGAGCGTGCGATCCGGGATAAAGACAACACAATAAAGTTCACGTTCACGGAGAGGGGCCCACGTGACCCGCCGCAGCCAATCTCGGCCCCGCTCCAGTCGTAAACTTTTATTACTTAGCAGTAAATTTTCTCCCAAACAACCAAGAATGCGCTGCGCTTCTCTCTCTCTCTCTTTGCCCTCGCTCTCTTTCTATGCCTCTTTCAGTGAACACATGACACCCCCCCCCCAAAAAAAAACCCAACATGTCCACCCCATCCCTGAAAATGTAAATTTGTTTGTTTATCGGATGACCTGGCCTGGATATGTATTCACAATTTATTCAGAACCACTTTATTTATCCCTAGGTGCAAATCAATACCTTTAAATCCTTAAATAAGAGTGTAAATTCAATTAAAACAAGAATTTGCATCACCATTTTAGCATCTCTTAAGTCTAATTGAACGGAAAATCTGTTTGAATTAAAATCTGTTAGTAATTGGATGCAATGATCTGAACGATTAGCTTTGCGCTTTTTCCTAAGCAGAGAGTCTGTCTCCCTGCAGGTAGTGGACTCCCATCGCGATGAAATTCATCCTGGTACCGCGGACTGGGCCGGGTCTCCACGCGCAGACCCGAACGGGACGGTCCTGCCACCCGCGATATGCACACGAGAACCTGTCCAAAAAAGGACACGGCACGGCTTCCCGGCACCCTGGCCTTCCCGCTGTCACACGCTGGAGGGAGGAAGTTCACACCACAAGCTCGGCTAGAAAGTGTTCAAAATAGAGGGCAGCACAATTTTAGAGTAACATCAACAAACAGGACCGCAGTGTCTCCTTTTCAGCAGATAACGTCGGTTTAGTAAAGAAAATGCAGTTGTGTCGATATTTGCAGATTCAATTTCAAACTTTTTTTAAAACTAAAACACCAGATTCTTCCCTATTGCCACAATAAGGAAGGCTTGGATTGTGTGAGCAGCACAGTAATATTCAACCAGCACTATTTTTCCCTTTTTGTGGAAATTCGAATCCTTCAGGCGTTTCTATTTAACTCCATAGGATACGGGCCTTCTAGAATACAGCGTTATCGCCGGAGACTCGGGTTCGCTGTCCACGTACTTCAAACACAGAAACAGCTGTTTTCTGAAGAGTCCGATGAAAATATTCCAAATGCTATTTGAAATAAATAACTAATGCTCACGAAATGCACCGGAAATGCACCAATGACGTTTCACTGTCACAAGAGACATTTTTATTCCAAGTCTAATATGTAGGCCTAGACATATTTTATTATGAATTAATACTATGTTCTAGATAGGTTTGAACAGTGATATGCTTATGTCTGTGTTCATTATTTACATTACACAATCGTACTTATACGTTACCATGAACATTTATACATATATATTTTCGTAACCTTTAAAGTTATTGTGTTATGTTTATAATTTAAAAGCCGAATTGTACAAATCTGCTTTGGTTGGAATCTAGTATCAGCTAAAATGCTAGGATCAATAACAAAATAAAGCTGAAAATTGTATGATTTTGTAGGGATTTGATTTCATGATTCTTTAAAGTGGGTCTTATCTGTAAATGGTTCCGATGATTTTTTTTAGTTCGTAATAAAAATCTGGAGATGCGTTAGACTGTAAATTAAAATTTATCAGCTGCGTTAAAATGCGTTGGCTTAGTAAATGCTCACGAAACGGCAGTTCAAGTGCTAAGTGTATCGAAACAGGAATTCAGATTGTTGCAATTCCATGTAAGATTACAGTGGATAACTCTTCCAGTGCCTTCTGCGCAAATATGGCAACAGGATCACACTGTTGTAGGAAAAGGAAAGGCTGAAAAATAAAAAATAAAATACGGGGGAAAATAAATTGCTTTAAAAAGACTCACACACTGATACACGTAATGATATATTATATATGCAATTATTTTAAATGCACACAGAGTATACAGATTCACGTGAACAAGTTTTCCCATTATTAAACATTAATGTCCGAACCAAAACAAACATACAAGGGATACACTTCAACAGAAGCCGAATTACGATAGTCAGTACGATTCAACGGGATACCTTTAAATCTAAGACATTTGATATTCAGACTTGGACACCAGTGAAACGTTTACTTGCAAATGATCCATTTATCCAGTTTAATGTATAAAATCCACTTATTAACAAAATTCACATGTAACTCATGTTAATGTCCGGAGAACGAGCTTTCGCTGTTTTCCTTAAAATTGTAAATTGTGTGTATGTGTGCTTGAATAAACATCTCGCTCGTCCTATATGATGCACATGTCATTTTTTCTGATTGTCTTGATGTACAATTAACCCAAACCGTTAGGTGACAAACATGCTAGATTATAGAACATATTATTTCGACGCGTCTTTAAAAAAAGTTTCTACGCTAAGACTGCTGTGAATTAACTGTTCCTAAAATTAATCAAAAGTGAATTATTTATGTTCGTCTCCAAAGAGTGTTTTATATTGCAATATTCTACCGAGAAAAAATGATATATGTGCCTATGAAGATGCGTGTGTATATTTAACCTTTCGCGTACAACTGCAAAAAAACATCATGTTACACTTTTTGTACACTGCAGTCCAATCTTATCTTCAACACATATATGCTGATGTACCACACACGTTCTGATTATTTTACCTAGATATCGCAACTAAACTGCTTTTTGTTCGTCATAAAATTAAGAAACAGCCTTGATAACAAGCAGCATTTCCGTTGCATTGTACGATCGTGTACAGTTATCTGAAGCGTTGCAATTTACATACGTGCACGGAGGACGCTGTAGACACTATGTGACACGCGTGGTCTGTTTTGCTTCCTCGAGCGGTATTCGGATTTGAACAGTCCTCTCTATGGACACCGCGCTCATCCATCGATAGGAAGCAGAAAGAAGGGATTCGTCAGAGTAGAAAGATGTACAGTAGGCTCTGCGTGCAGAAGACATTCACAAATCTTTCACAAGTCCATAAGTTCTACCTGCTAGCATGCATGTTTCAAAAGGCAACAAACAGGAAACACATATACGAGGGCAGACGGCGGCCTGTCCTTACAGGTTGCTGAATGGCCTGTGGAGAGAAATGGAGCTCATTGTACAATAAAAAAAAAAGATCAGTCACACCGGATACGAGCACACCGCCGGCTTTACAAACCTCCAATAAAGTTTACTGCAGGTAGTTAGACATGATTGGGGAGCCGGGCTTCCTAACAGCAATATAACAGACAATGGGCAGCGCGAGGCGGACAATGCTCGCGGACAGTTGTCACTGCAGAACCTTCCGGGGAGACGCAGTCATGCGCTCGGTGTTTCCGAATTACAGATCATCCGTGTTTCCAATAAACCATTATCTCTGGCTCGCCATTCACTTCAAAAGAGAGACCGTAGTACACATATTGAGGGGAAAAAACTAGCTTTTGGACCGCAGAAATTCCAGTCACTTTTCTCCTTTTTTTAAAGTAGGTAGGTGGAATATACTATTTAAATATACCCCTTATGTTGTATATTGTTCTAGTTCTGGTTACAGACTGTTGTTTTTTAAATGTGTTTAAATGTTTCGTTTTTAAGTGCTGGTATTTGTACTTATATCTGAATCCAAATTCCCAGATTTTGTCTAGACATTCTACTGAATCGCATGATTTAATGTCTAACGTCTGAACTTCAGAAATAAACCTGAAACAAAAACAAAGAAAATAACCATACGTGGAATTACAGACCAAATCTAAGTGGTATTAAATCATGCTCTTTCTGAGATGTCAATATTTGATTATAAAATTGTGCAGCGGGAAAGAAATATTAAAATTCTCAAAATAGAATATTTGTTTTTTTTTTAACTGACAATATTACAATTACAAGTAACAAATTATGAGAACTGAAAAACTGAAAACACGCCGAAGCATGATTCAATCTACACATTTAAAATTGAATTTGAAAGTGTTAATGCCTTTGAATTTGAGCGAGTTTTTAGATTTCGAAATTTAAAAAGTCTTCAGTATAAACGTATGGTATCTATAGATGACATACAGGCTGTAAAAGAGCAGTTATAATGCAATTATATACATTCTCGTAGGTTAACATTTATTTACTTATTTGTGATTATTTTATATTTATATTAAATAGATGTTTATATACTATGTGTATAGTACATATAATGTATAGTATAATTGGACATCTAGTTATGTCTCGCATAGGAATTTAGGTCCTTCTGTATCTATTTACACAGGAGAATGCTGTTTCCATTCGGATAAGAAGGTAAATATTTTAAGGAACCCGAGTGTTTGATGGAAAAACGCGAATTGCTTGTTTTTTCCAGAACCACCCAGAATCTACACGGTCGCCGACTGTTTTAGATTTGACTAGAGTGCTCGTTTGCAATTAGTTCAGTTCGTGTTCTGAACGTATTTTTAATGCTGTTTTTTTCCCAGCTTGGTTTGTGTTGTTTTTGAAACACAGGAATGCACTGTATGCTACGCGCCTACGAATTATGTACGTGCATATATGACGTAACATTATTATAACTATTACATATAAGTATATAGTTCAGGTGGGTAGCTGCGTCAGATGCGTAGGCTGCAAAGGAACAAGTAAAGGTTTATTCCATACTGAAAAGAGAAGAAAGAAAACACAACGTTTCGGCCGTGGAGCCTCCTCGGACGAAACGTTGTGTTTTTTCTTTTCTTTTCAGCATGGAATAAACCTATTACTTGTTCCCATATAAGTATATATACAAATAGAATTTATGTAATATCTAAGATTATTTTAGTATAATATATTTACCTTAAACATCACATAAACTATATAATTTTACAGGTGTTTGCATACACAAAAGTTCTGAACGTAAAATGCAAACTATGAAAAAATGTGACAGTGTTTTTGTATGAACTTTTCAGGACTTAAATCGTTTAGGGGTTATTTTCTTAGAACAAAGTGACAACTTTAATTTACTTTGTGAATATATATGCGGTTGTGCGGCTTTAATATTTCAATTTTTTGCGGTGCATGCAAGTATTATAAATCCAAGAATTTTCATGAATGATAATAATCATTATAATCAACCAGATTAAGAAAAATTAAGAACTTGCAAAATATTTTATTGTATCAGATAATATGGTGCGAAAATGTGAGGAATAGGGTTTTTAGAGTAGTTTTGACAGGTGAGAGAAGCGGTGGGAACATGCGACCGTTTTGCATCTGTTCGTATATTTTAAATATAAATTGATAGAATTACAATTCAAGTACACGGGGGGCACCAATCTGCATTTCTGAATCTTCTGTAGAATATAGTATTTTCGTTTGACGAGGCCATGGTTACAACTACAGTTTTTTTTAATACCGATATTATATTGTACATTCTAAGACTGTAAATAATGACAGGAATCAACCACAGTGAACGTGTCTAAATGTGAGGCTACTAATCGCCTTAAGGAAGCCAGGTGCGCTCTGTTTTACAGTCACGAAATTATTAACTTAATTATTGTTCTTGGCCTGTATTTCCGGGCTTTGCCATTGTGTTCTGTTTCGGGTGATGGGCGGTATAAAGTTGACAGCAACCAGTAACCAAAAATGGTTCTGAAGGCGAGCTTTGATGGGATCCAGCACTGATGACGCGTCGATGAGAAAACAAAATGAAATGAAACTAACCCCCCTCCCCGAATTAAAAATAACTCCTGCACGCAGAGCCTCGATCAGAATTTTCTGGAAGCGTCTTATTAAGCTGCAAATACCAAATAAACCTGCTGTACCTTATATAGGAAGGAAAACTCAAACCCGTGGTTTCAGAACTCTCGAATTCTGGGCGCCTCGCTTTGCCCCTGCGGAACTCACGAGGTCAAATTCATGCAAATCTGCGAGGGTATAATTGACCTTTCAACTTCTCAGGCAGAGAGCTGGTGACGCTGTAAGGTTGAAACAAACGCAGAGCACGCTCGCCGGAATATGCCTATTTCCCAAGTTCCCACTCTCTGGGCAGCTGGTTCGCTCGCAGATCGATGTCCTCGTCGTCATCGATTGCCCCGTTTCGATCATGTTGAAATTGGGTCTTCGTGGGGTTTTTTTTTCTTTGCCACTTAGAAAATCTTGGATTTTTGGTGTGTCGTGCAGAAAGCCCGAGACATGTTAATCTTGCGTTTTGATACTTTTGATGCTGAGAAGGACAGAGGCCCAATTTAACAACATACCTTTAATGGGGGGGATGAAGGTATATTTGAGTGTCTTCTCGAAATGAAGGTTGCTTGGCAAGCTGAAGGCCAGCTTTCGGTCTCTTCCGTTTCAGAACCGAAGACAAGGCCTTTGGCTCAAGGTCTTAATGAACCTGCCACTGGCTGCTGCAGACCAGGCAGCGCTCCGACCCGCCTGCAGCCTGTACAGGTAATTTAATAAGGATATAATTAATGCAGGCAAAGCCCTTTGTTTATCTCCTAGTGCTGTGCTACAGCAGGTCTCGACACCGTCTCGGAATAGGAACGGACGGCTCTCTACACTGCTGCTACCTGGAATGGAGATAATTCTTGTGCAGGATCGATAGAGATAAGGGAGCATGCACGCAGGTTCAACTAATTGGAGGAAGAGAGATTTCTCGTGTTAAGAGAGAGTGGGCGGGGCGGGTTACATACATTTTGATCGTTTCAAACACGGTTTATCGGAGGGAAACCGCAAGCTGCTTTTCACCTTGAACGATTCGGGCCTTAACATGCAATTCAATTATCCCGTTTTTTTTTTGGTGTAACCATAACATTCTCATAAGGGCTTCGTAAGCAAGGGAACTTCCTTCGACCGGGAGGCCGCGTCCCACAGGCAGCCAACAAGCGTTTTTTTTTCCTTTCCTGTGGAAAACGTCGTACACACACACACAAAAAAAATATATTTTAAGGCTTGAAAGAAGCCGCGCGTTCCTGCAGCGCATCTCTGCGACCGTGGGCGCGCGACTGAGGTCACGTGCTACACAAACAGTACAGCAAGACTTTCGTTTTACGGCATTCTGCATTCCAGCTCATTAAAAATCACAGCGGCGCTCCTGCAGCCACAGAATACTCCAGCTGTAATTAGTCATTCAAAGGCACATTCCAAAAAGAACACCGGGTTTCTTTTTGCATTTTAGATCATATAGTTTTTCGGCATTCAACCAGCGCCCTCGAATGATTTATTATTAACGCAGAGCCTAAAACGTATACATAGATACATGAACAAGAACAAGAGTCAGATCCCAATAAAAGCAAGCTGCTTTATAAATTATAATAACGCCCTTCAAAACTTCAAAACTTTCATTTTCAATATTGCATATACCGATGAAAGTAAGACTGCGTCAGAACAAAGACAGAAGGGTCTTTAATTTGGTGTCAGCACCCTTGTTTATTTCCGGGGGCAGTAAAACCCCACAACAGCCGTCGAACTAATGAACAATTAAAGACAGCAGCACCAATAAATTCATCCTAAACAGCGACTTTTTGCTTTTCAGTCTGGATTACCTTGTAACTTGTTTTCCTTTTTTTTAGCTCAGATAAAGACTCAGTATAACGCAAGGATGAGCTTTTCAAACACAAAAGCGTTTCTTAACACGTGTGAGTTAAAAGAAAAATACTTTATTGTTGGTTTTCGAGTATTTCTGAACCCAAGGATTGCGCTGTTCTCCCTGCTCGAACACGCTTTTGCTATTATTTTAGCCCTTGACGTTTCTGGAGAAAATGGATGCACCCCCATTTTCAACAGCAAACCCCCCGTCACCATCGCTACTCATATTAAAAAGTATAAATTAAGCCAGTCCCCGCTTCCTGTCACATAATACGCCATTCACGTCTCGAATAAGAGGTAGTTCTTAAAAGGGAGCTAAGGACTGCTTACTGCACTTAACTTTCCTCCGATATATTCATCAACCGTGCAGGCTGTTTGTGTTAAAACTCCTATCCGGTTTCATTTGTCAAAAGCCCGAACTTTCATCCTCGGCTCAGTGCGATAGGCAGGGCACTTCTCCGAGAACCCAGCGATCGCTTATCTCTGCCATCTATATAAACAACCAGGCCGCTTCAGCCCAAATAGCTCGCAGTTACCGGCGATTCATCACCGGCCCAAGACTGGAAACGCATTACAGGCCGATGTACTTGGTCGTGAAAAGTCACGGTTAATATTTATATTGTCTGTGAATCATTCTGGGGTTACAGTATTTTTTTTGGGGGGGCGCTTGTGTTCCTTTGACATTTGACCAGAGACAACCCATTTTGAGTATGAAACTCGTTATAATTGACCTTGACTGATATTTTCGGACGCAGGACGTGGCTTTCATGTGCCTCTCTCTCTCTCCTTTAAATCCTTATTTAGATTAAAGATCATATTTAAAAGCCGGGATCATGAAAAGCAGGAAAGAGTCATTCAACCCCAGATTTCTGAGCTGTTTAACAATGAGGTTCAGTAGAGGGGTTCGGGCTGGTCGATCCCACGTGCCGGAAGGCGAGTGAAGTTCCCCCGTTTCTCAAAATAAACCACCGATAGTTTTGTTTTTTCCACGTTTGATATACCTGTGCACGAATGCTGGGATGGCACGGGGGTGGGATTGGGGTGGAAATGAAGTTTAGTTGTTTAGTTGTGTAGCCGTGTTGGACTCTACGTTGTTGTTTTCAAGTGTTGCGGTGACTTATCGCCGTCGAACAAATTCGAGAACAGTGTGAAAATCGAGTCGCTACAGGATCCCGTTTATAAAAACAGAGCCAGGTATGATGGAACCATCAGAACTTTCTTCACGGTGTCACAAAGTTCAGAAACGCGACAGGACAGTTTTATCTGCCTGAACTCAATGGGACAGCGTGTAAGTTGTATTGCTATATCGTGCTTTATATATTTAAAACCGTGATAATAATGAATGTCCGATGTTGTTCTCAGTAGCTTTCTTCGTGTGTTCTTGGCCTTTAAAAGCAACCAGCACGTCACTTTATGATGCTCCAAAGTTTGCGCGGCACTAGCTGGGCTGTCAATAGACTTGATAACTACTGAAGACGGAACGCGTGTATCTCTGTCTTTATCTCTCTCTCTCTGTTCTGTCTGTCCGCCATCTATTAGTCTGTCCTCCTCCACGCGCACATTTATCTGCTTTCTGGAAATAGACTCTCCAAGGCGTGGGGAGAGGAGAAGAGAGTGAGAGAGCGTGGGAGAAGGGAGAGAGAGAGAGAGAAGGGGAGAGAGATATGGCTATAAACACCACTAATGAAGATATACTCTGCCTCCATTACCGCGCGGCGCTGACACTCTGAAGGCGCCGTTCATTTTGAGGCGCCCGGCGCTGGCTCGCGAGCGGATGTGCCTTGACGTTGCGAGTCGGCAATGGTCGCAACGGAGCAGTGGAAGCGCGCGGCCGCCCCAGACACACAATCAGCCCCGAGACATCGCTCTTCATTTAAAACGAGTTTATTTACTCAACGCAACACCGATACAGGACAAAAGAGAAAGGCGAGCGAAGGGAAAGTCTTTCTCCAAATTTGTTTTTTTTTAACATTCAGGTAGTGAAACACTCCAAACTTTTTTTTTCTTCCAAAAATAACAAAAACAACGAAACGAGCATATCGCAAACAACAATATATACCAAGACATACATAAGATTATACTCAGTGCAATTTAGTTCTAATTCTAAACCATCAGCACGATAAAATCATAATCCTTATAATAATCATAAAACGATTCTAAATATAAACATAGAAATGTGCGTTTATCTAGGCAGTTTAAGTTGTTGGGGAAAAAGTTCTACAGGAAATTAAAGCAGCAACAATCCACAGACAGGCAAATTACACTCCGACTGAAACAGACAACGCACGTTTTCTATTTAGGTAGTGGCGGAAGGTGTATTCATCAAATCTCTGCTACTTGGTAGCTGGCTTTGAGCTCAAAAACTCTCATCATTTTTTCACTTTTTTTCCTTTTCTCTTCTTTTTTGTTATTCAAGAAAAAAACAGCAACACTGAATTCGTTTTGAAATAACATGAAATCCCTCGGAAGGGTCATTTAAAAAAATATTTCTTTTTTTATTGCAGTCTCCCTTTGTTTAGGTAGTATCTGAAGGGTTTCACGTGATTGCAGTTCCCTGGTTCATCCTTGAGTGACCATAATAACATTAATACCAAGAAATATTGTCAGAACACCCCCCCCCCCCCAATTCTCTCTGCCCTGCCACCCCTCTGCTCACCCATATAATAAAATAACAAGTACGATAATACTTCAGCAAACGAATGCCTGCAACCATAGGAAATAAATAGGTACTGTATACTAACTAGCTTGTGTCACGTTTAATACTGGCGCAGCGGCACTAAATACAGACTGAGGCCTCCAAGTGAGACTTCAATAGACGATAGAGACTAGTGTTCTGGTGAATCTGTGGCTAGCCGGCAAAGGCGGTTTTTAATTCTCATTTTGAGTCAGTCTGGGCTTCTCCTGCGCTATTCTGGCCTGTGAAGTATGAAGTAGTTAGAAAGTCCTGTCCGTGTCCTCTTTTGGAGTCCGGTGTAGACCTCTGTGATTCGCACCTAGACATGGAAACATAGGCTTATATATATATATATCCGCTTTGCTCCTGTTAGTGTTTTAAAACATATTTGAGGTCTACATTTATTTTATTTTTTAAAAAAAGAAGAAAAATATGTTTCTCAAGTAATTTGAAATTCATGCTGTTTTTGTCGGTGTTGTTTAAAAAAAAAACCTCCCTGACTATTTCGGAAAAACCTTATTTCCAGATCCTCGAGATTTTAATTTCCCTAACCCCCCCCCCGAGAAAGGACACATCTGTAATGCGCTGGAGACCGTGTCGGGTCCAGTCACTCAGTCCGGGCCCGTTCGTATGTTTTTCAGTCAAAAGACACTCCGCATCTTCCGTCGTCAGGGGGAAATGTGTTTTGACAGCGATGGCCGTGGGATTCTCTTCACATGTTGACTCAATAACAAAAACGATGGTCATAAAAGTTTAGCGCTTTCTCTCTCCTCTTCCCGCCTCACCCCCCTCTCCGTCTCTCTTCCTTTTTTTTTTAAGCAATATAACCATAAAAGAGGAGGTCGCACAATCACTCCTTGGCCTCCTCTTTCTGTTCCGTGTCCTTCTCCTCTCTGTCGCCGTCTTCGTTGCCGTCTTCCTCGGCCTCGGCTTCTCCCCTCTGGCCCGGGAACTTGTCCTTATTGTTCTCCTTTTTCCACTTCATCCGCCGGTTCTGGAACCAGATCTTCACCTGGCGCTCCGTCAGTCCGAGCGCGTGCGACACCTCGATCCGGCGCTTCCGCGTCAGGTACGGGTTGAACAGAAACTCCTTCTCCAGCTCCAGCGTCTGGTACCGGCTGTAGGTCTGTCTGCCGCTGCGCCTGCCCGGAGCTGCGACAAAAGAAAACCATAGAGGCAGAGTAGTGCCGAGTTTACGGAAAGTGCCGTAGCTAAAAGAGAGAGGGGGGGCGGGAGAAAAACTATCCACTTTTTCCACACACAAACAAAACCCCGACAACGACGCGCACACCGCATGGACGAGAAGGCCCGAAAAAGGAGAAAGAAAGAAAAAAAAAAACACAGGAGAATGAGCATTGATCGAGTCAGGTTTGAAGTTTTAAATTTCTGAAATAAAACGTGCGCATGTTTGTGACCTGCCGCCCCGCACCCAGACTCCCCCAGATGAAGTCAGGCTCTTGCATTTTTTTTTTTTAATTCTGAGCATTTCTGGTCTTGAAAAATAGTGTCCTGGTGGTTAAAAGCGAATGTCCCCGTTGCCCTTTGAAGTGTCTTACTTGACTTGCATCGAGACCCGCGAGTTAATGTTAGCATCTGACCTGGAAGGGTCGTGTTTTTGGGAGAGCACAGGAAGTACGTGATGAGAGGAAAAACCATTCATGCTTTCCATCAGTTCGTTATGTGGCTACTCGTGCATTTATTTGTCCAAGGCCTCAAGAACAAGCGCCCACGTTTTTCTAGTAAAGGACTGGATGAACGTTACAGGCTGCTATTTAAACTGTCTTACGTAGGTAGCTGGATGAATGAGATTTTATTTACTGGCCTAAGGAGAACTCGTAAAATATTTTATTACAGGATAAAAAAAAAACAAGTTAATGTCTCTTTTATGAGATCAAAACTCTTCCAACAGAGGCAGCTCGTTATGTCAGCGGAGCTGCGCTGTGCAGGGGGCCGGAGTGCCGACGCTTCTAATGCGGTTCAGAGGGTTATTGTTTTGGCCAGCTTTACGTTCAAGAGGGCATCGCAGGCTTCGACAAACATAAACACGACAATTTATGTACCCTACAGTTCAATTCGCTACACAAAAAAAATGTCCTCATTACAGTTTTAATGAAGGGCAATAAATCTCGGCAATCGTATAATCTCGGGTCGTAACACAGCGAGACTTCAGTGATAGCAAAACTGTGCGCGGTCAAAGATTTTTTTAATGGAGGTTTTCGCGTTCGTACTACTTAAGGGAATACGTCTCATTGTGCTATTTGAAGTTCTTTCCAGTGCCAGATTAAGCGAAAGGGAAGCGCTGGGGGAACCGGATTTCATAGCGACCCCACTATTAACTGGGACGGCTGTAAGTGCAAAAGCAAAGCTGAAAAAAAAAAAAGAAAATAATTAGAACTGGATTTTTGGCTCCCAGCTTTCAGACGGAGCAAGTGTAGCTCGTGCTGATTTAAAGTTTTAAATTGCACGCGATCGGAGCTCGATGGAAATCAAATCTGCCTAAAGAACAGTGACGGTTTATTGGTATCGGTTTGTCGTTTAATTATTACCGCGGCCCTAAAGTTGCGGTTGTGGCTATCGCCATATCTTTTTTGTTTTGTTTTGTTTTGTTTTGCACGTGTGGCATGTTGTGCACTAGAAACGTGTGTTGATGTGTGCATCGCTGGGGAGATCTATAGTTCAAGCCCAGTGCTGTTACACCGACCCCTCTAAACCTCAAACAGTCATCACAATAAAAGAACGCGACTTTTACCCCACGCAAGAATTATAAATCTCCTGTCACTGATGCGATCTTCAACCCCGAGGGAGGGGATGAGAGGTGAGGGCACACGATTCTGAGGACCCCCTCTTTCGGCTTCCCGACTACCTGTACGGTCAGTGTCTCCCCCAGTTCCAGCCCTGGTCAACAGACTGTTCTTCGTCTTCATTATGTTTTTGTTTCTATTTATGTTGCAGGGCAAACGACGCGAGTGACCGTTCCTGACCCACTAAAGTCGCCAGCTTTCTTCCGCATTTCCAGATTTGAAATCCCAAACTTTACGGTGCGGGGTGCGTATGCCTTTTGTTTGTGTTTTTATTTATTTTTTTTGGTGGAGAAGTCTTGAAGGCGAGGCGAAGTAAAGAACTGCCTTTTCCAGTCATTGTTTTAAGTCAAACGTTTCCTGGTTGGGTTCACCTAACTTCCATGAACGAGCTTTAATGTAAAGAGCTTACAGCGCAGAGGACATAAAAAAAAACAACTACCCTAGCTTTCTTTACTTGGCTTCATCTTAAAAGACGCAGAGAGGATGTATTGCAAAATAATGAGAAACTAAGGCTTCGTGAAGGAAGTTTAACGAAGACCCTGCCTAGAAACACACACATACACATAGTCAACCCCTGTCATATCGGCTCACAACTCATACAGCACAAGTAAAAACACAAAAGGACTCTAACCGTGAGGTCTCATCCAAGGGAACATGAGACTAGGAGACGAATTTTGGTTTAAGTGGCCTTGTCCGTCTCCGGGGTTAGCGCCGTTAGACGACTTACAGTCGGGATACTGCGCTACGCCGGACTCTTGCTGCGAGCAGTACAGCGACTGCCGGGGAAGAGACTCGTAGCCGTAGAATTTCGCGGCGTCCCCGTGGCAGGCTAGCGCGCAGGCATTCTGCTGGTAGCCGGCGTTGGCCATGCCGGACGGGCCGTGCTGGAAGAAGTCTTGGACGTGATGCGACGCGTGCTGGAAGCCGGGCGCCCCGGCTCCGGGTCCGTACACCAGCGTGTGGCTCCGGCTCACGGTCTGTGGGAACCGGCAGTCGTAGTAAGCTGGCTCCAGCGTCTCGCCGGATTTGTATTTGGAGAAGAGAGGGTTCACGAAATAGGAGCTCATCGCTTTCTCATGCAAGAGGCGGAAAACGGGGGTAACGTGCCGGAGAGGTGTAGCCGTTGCTGGGTTGTTTTATTGTCAAACGGTGTCGCTTCCTTTAGAGAAAAAAGGTCCCCTTCATTTCTCCCAAATCACCTCGCCGCCACTATTACCAGTGTCTCGGCAACCGGAACCCGAGAAAAAAAAAATCGGCTGCTGCCCCTTTGGACAATCTCTGTCCGCTCTCTCTCTCTCTCTACACTCGCTCTCTCCTTTCTCTCTCTCTCTCTCCCGTGTGAGTCTTGCTCTCTCTCAGTCCCCCCTCCCTCACCACCACCGCCACCCCTAGTTTTTTCTATTTGCAGAGCCTCAAATCCGGCTCACGGCGAGTGCGAATGTACAGGCTACAGCTGAAGAACAGTCAGAGCTCGTGAGATAATTTTCTTCTTTCCTACCCCCCCCCCCCACACACACACACACACATACACAGCACCACCACAACCTTCACAGCCGCCACCCCACTCGACCCTCCCCTCCTCTGAACTCTCTCCTATGTCTACCTTGCACAGCGCAAGCGGTCAATTCTTCACGATTCCGGCTGCTGCGTTTACAGTACGATTAAAGGGTTTCTTTTTGTGTGTGTGTGCCTGTATAGATAAATGCACACGTGCGGGGAAAAATAGCTCCAAACACACCTACTGAAAGGAAGGCACAGCGTCTCGAGAGCAAAGGTCACGTGTGAGAGCGTGTGCGAGGGACAGAGGGAGAATGATATCGTGAAGGAACAGAGAAGCGCGCACACACACGTATATATATATATCAGTATAAAAAAAACTCGTGCTCCGATCAGCCATAGTTACACGGTCGTACCCATAATAACTAATTGTGCCCATGCTTACTCTCTTGTATTACAAAATACAAGCATTTTGTAAAGGTGTGTATGTGTATTGGTACACAAGGAGCAACACAGGGGCATTAAGATGTTTAGTAAACGACCACGCGCCATTGATACCACGCTGTCTACGTCACTCTCAAGGCCCGTGCCACCATTGTTGTTTTACGTTTCCCGGCGCATCTCCAAGACCGGAGTGGAAATACCTCAAGCCCTCGCACTCCCTGTACGACGCCCTGAGAGACTGTGCGTCTTACTGGGATTTATGAAGGAAATATAAAGTTCAGAGAACTTTGTTCAGTGCTCAACCTAAAAACACCAGGCAGTGAGTGACGTGTTTTTAATTTTCACTTGAGCCTCTGGTTTATGCAGGTGTCTGTAAGCAAGCCTACCTCTTTAACACAGGAAAGGAAAACGTAGTGGGATTATTTCTCTTTCAGCACGATTTCGCGGCCTGTTTTATTTGACGCACGCGGGGCCTGTATGGTCTGTGTTTCGTGTTCGAAATTCAGGCTGGGCAGCCTCGCGCGCCCGCAGTTCGGAGAGAGCTGCTCGTGACCACGAATTCGGAACATGCCTTTCGGCCAGGAGCGTATCAAAACCTCAGAACAGCAACACGGTAAATTTGTTTTCACTGAATTATGGCTTCCTCGACACAGACTGGAGGTAACAGAACTACGTTGGTTGTGTCAAATTCTCATTTACTGACTTGTGCTGTATTTGAGCTTGCAGATATTATTTTCATGTACGCATAAATACATTAGGCATTTCATTACATTGCCGAATGAAATGCGGAATAAGATGTTTATACGATCTCTGACCTTTAATCGAAACTCCCTCGTGAAACCAGTATACATAGCTTTGTGAAACGAAAGAGATTAAATTTGTGGTTTTAATTCCCTTATGTTTTCTTTAGATATTTTGATACAGAGGCAGAACCAACAAGAAAACTTTCAGGAAGGACTCGATCAAACGTCCCAACTCTTGAACTGACAACTTCAGGACTCCACAAGGTTATGATATAACAATTACTTAGAGAATCTCTTCTATCACATCCAATACGAAACTATAAATAAAATATGACGTGGACTGCAAAAATTAGTTTTACAGAAGTGCAATGACGAACCTCTCTATCAATTATTCGAAAGTAAATTCGTAGACTGTTTTACGATAGTAAAACATTAATTATCAATTCAGAAAGAAAAAGAGTACGATTTAAAGCTAGAAATCATTACAAGTTTAGTTTAACCTGAATAATCTTGTTACACATGGCTGTGTTTAATTCTCTTTTGCATTTCTCTGAAATTATTTTAAAAAATATTGATATCGACTCATTATTTTAGATGACCTTAAAATAAATACCCCTGCACATATTAATTGTTGTTACTGCAAGTGCATATATATGCGAATACTGTAGATGCACATTTAATATAACGAGTGTCCCTCATTTAGAAGAATGTTGGCCTCTAACGAACTGACTGATGAGGATTTGCGTGGAAAATGAATTCTACACATGCTCGAGTCTTCCAGCCTCGTCGAATCTATTCGTACGCTGTAGTAAATCCGTACGGGGAGTTAATAAAAAAAAAGTACATTATAAGCCTCATTATTTCAATTGGCACATAAATGTTTATGTAGTGTTTTGTTTCTACCCGTGTTCTGTCACTGGGCCTTAAACTCGCCTCACCACCTCCCTCGCCTGATGCCGTTTGTGTGTGTGTGTGTGGATTCATTGTCGATTTTTACACAGCGTCGTAAAAGCACGAGGAGAAGCCCTGGAACGGAAGAGTTTAACGGCGGAATCCTGCGCTCAAGTTCTGGCACAGCCTCGCGCACAAGGCCCTGCCAGTCGCTGCAAGCGCTTATCCGGGCGGCCGGCACCTGTCCCAAATCCTGCAAATGTATCAGTGTCGCTGTTCTTTATTCAACCGAGAGCAGTCTGTGTGAAAAGCAAGAATTTCTACGGGTTTTTTTTTCACCTTTTGTAACTCTTCTGTTTATAAAGCGACTGTGCTGTTTTATGTTGGGTTTTTTTTTTCCAAATCGAATTTGGTTTAGTTGTTAACAGTTAACAGTGCGTTGTCTTGAACCTACGGAGCAATGAATTTTGGATTTTTTTTATTGCAGTTTCCTTACTTTAATTAAAAGCTCTTCTTTTCCCTGCGTCTTGTGTGTTCTTGTATTCCTGTCTCCTACGAAGGGGTTTCCAACCGTGGACGCAACAAACCACGATTCACACTAAACACACTTGCTTTCCCGCGTACTTCAAAAGTTCAAGACGCTTCCCTGTATCTAACCCTACTCACGCCACGTCAGGGAACATTACTTATTGTTCTACACGCCGCAGGTAGGGCACGACACGGCAGCAGTGTTCCTGAGCACACCCATTCGTTTACAGGCGTGGACGAATGCAACATGGGCTGTTAAGACCCCTTTGGACTGAAGGTCAGATGTCTTCCAGGATTACATGTTAAACCCAAATGGAACTGACAGCTTCCAAAGATTTTCTGCTTTTCACAAACTTATATAAAGGTGTATATAGCAGGACCATACCCCAACCATTAGTTAATGTTTTATCCCATATGTTACTAAAATAGGTGGTTACCCTAACAAGCCTTTGTTTGAATAGAGCACGTCTATGTATAAATCTGTGCCCTTCACAGACGAACACACACACACATATATATATATACATAAGAAGGGAAAATAAATATACCATGTTCTCTCCAATAAAACTTTTTCTTCATCCAGACATACCTGTATTTATACATAGACGACTGTCAGTAATTACACTTGATTTAATTTCACCACGAATATGAATTATTAGAGTACACAGTTTTGAAAATAATAAAGATATATATATATAAGTTCGCTGTTGTGTTGGCGAGCAGTACAGAAATTAGTATTAGAACCTGAGACCTAAACTGAAATTAGGCTGCTATTTTAGTGTAACTTTTGTTACATTTTCTGTGGAAGTTGGTTCATGAGGTGACTTTGGGGCGACTTCAGTTTCCACCTCAAGAAAAGGGGAATAATGAGGAGTGAAGCAGAGTGACGTTATCTTTAGCTGGGCTCAGCCACATCCCTAAAAAAATAACACGAACGAAACACCACATAGTGATAATTCATAACCTTAAAAAGTCTGTTTCAGCCTTAATGTTCTGCGGCGCTGACTGTTCTCTCTCTTCGTGATTGATATCCTTTCAGTGGGCCTGATCGCTGCGGGTCTTCTTCGCAGAAGTGCTTTCCACTCGGAAAAACACCAGATCCAGGGCGGAGACAGCCCGGAACCCGAGCGAAATATGAAGCAACAGCGACATCTAGTGTTCGTCGAGGGTATTGGAATCGCTTTGGTCTGGCGTGTGTATCAATATCGGTAATAATTATCCTGTGTGGTAAAGACTGAAGCATCTTCCGTTGGTTTTAGCGGTACTCCTTGGTCTGCCCGTGTCTAGAATCCCTGTTCTCCTTTTGCATTCCGTTTCGATATTTTCGTGCCGGTCCATCTTCATCTACGAGCCTAATCTCGAGCTAAACTGCGAAACTGCAATGCAACACCTTCATCGGGTTTATCTGCAGCCGTTCAGAGCAGTTCAAAGCGGTGCTTAAAGTCTTTCTTTTACAAGACCGTGTCCTGTGCATGTTTTGTGATTGTGTGTGGTGGAGTTGGGGGGGGGGAGGACTTAAACAGTGCAGGCCCACATGAAGGAGGACCTCGGTGCTTTCAAGTTTAGTGCCTTTATCAGTTTTCTGCTCTCTGTTTTTTCCCCCTGAGGTTAGGAAAGGTCTGATGTTTTGCGGTAGGCATTGACAAAACAGCGCAATAAGCAGAGGCTTTGAAACAGTCGCGCATCAGCGTCCTCTAAAACCATAAAGCAATTTAGTCCAGACGTCTAGCCAACTCCCCGGGCCTGCTTTGTTCGCCGTCATTCAAGACAAACACCGGCGGCTCAAACAGGGCTGTAAAAAGCCGCATTTTTGTGCTCTGCTGCGGAAATGTCGCAAATGGATTGGGCTCTAAAAATCTCTGCATCCTGCCGGTATTGTTGTGCCCTTACAAAAAGGCAGTTTCGTTCACCCAGCTCCCAGGAAGGATCCGCCCGAGTCTAACAAGCAATTAAGCAATCAATACAAGAATACCATACAGTATTAAGGTGCATGTACGATGCGCTGCAGCGGCTGTACACTGAGACGCACACGAACACGTACGCGTATTGAGAGTTCCCCACTGACTGTGTGGAATGACACGAATGTGACCGATATCCCGGGGACGGAGATGGAGAGAGCACACAATCTCTAACCCCTGGTTAGCTGGCAGGCGAGTCGTTAGCGGGGCAGGATGTGTTGGTGCTGTGTATCGCATGGATACGTATAAAAAAAACAACAACAGCAACACTTCAGTTCATAAAATCCATGTACTGCTTACCTTTGTAGCAAAGCCATTTAATATTCATTCATAAATAATGCCACTCAGCCCTGCTACGGACAACAGAAAGTAAAATGTCATAAATAATGCAGCCGTGAAGGAAAGGATATCACGGGGTACAGCCGCAGCGCAGACGCAAACAAGAGCATGTGTGTGCGTGTGTGATTATGTTTATACACCTATCAAAATTATTGCTGTCGGGATTAATGTCAGCACATCAATAATATTAGTATTGATGTTTGTGTTGGCATCTGCATCAGAGTTAGTATTATTAAATCAAAACCACTTATTCAATCAGATTCTAAACAACATGCCAATTAGCTCAAGACACCAAGGTAGTATTTTTGGTGAGAATGATGTCGGTTCATTGTATATTTATAGGTAGTGTGTGTCGTTGTGTTGCACTAGGCACCAGGCAGGAAGTGAATGCGTGGATCTGAGCTGCTGCACCGACAGCGGGACGCGGTGTTGCTGCAATATTGCTATTAATGGCAATTCTGTTCTATGCGTTTTATCTCGAGATTTATGGGTCGGGACGAGGCCGGTTTTCGGTTTCCTTGTTTGTGTTCCGTTGGTGACGACTTAAAATCCGTCCTTGAAAGGAAAAAAAAAAAGAAAGGTTTTGGTTTGAAACATCCTCACCACTCACAAACCCGAGACCCGGGCAGGCGCCGTTCTTCAGGAGGAATTTAAAAGTAATAACGCACGCAGATTGTTACAGGAAGTAGAAAGAAACGAATAAAAACAATCACCGTGATTACTGAAGACATTTTCTCCCAGGCAAGGACGTGTACCGAGTATGTGTAGCTAAAGATAGGTAGGCAGATGATTAATAATCTGGTCTTAAAACTACTAAAATAGAGTGGAATTCCGCAAAACGCTAAGTATCTTAAGTAAATGGGATGAGAGCCACAAACACATACAAAGGCCTGTAGGCCTGATAATGCTTTTGAATGCATATTTAGAGCATTGTATTGTTGCGTGTTTTTTAATGGTCGGAAACCCGAGGACACGGATTTGCTTGGTAAAGCACATTTTTTTTAAATGTTTTTACTCGGCCTAACAAAACTAAGAAATGACGGCACCACCGGGGAGCACTGAAAAGGAGAAGGGGGGGTGGAGGAGGACACAAGGGCAGTCAGTGCTCTCGCAGAGAGTTCTCCATGGTACAAACTCCGTGTTTTTCCCGGAAAGGCACATTGGGGACGGGTGGTTATCGTGGGGACTGTCCTTGGGAACAGCACAGAGACACGCGACAGGGGCGGCAAAACGGAATACACGCCGCGCGTGAACATCTCCAAATATCCAGCAGCTGAGACGTCGACTTCCGTAGGACTTGTTTCACCCAGCTCTGGTCATCTGTGTGGGGTTATGACAGCTCTCCGCCGGCAAGCTGTGCAACCCCAGTCTTGTCATGAGGACAAAAACACAACAAGCAAGACACGTTTTTTTGCTAACACAAACTCCTCGTCCACTTGATTGTTTATTTTAGCACAAAATGTTTTGTTGAGTCACAACGCTTTACATGGTATCATATAAAAACAGTATGGAAAATGCATTGGCTGTGCGGTATATTCGACAAGTCACGCCACAGTGTGTGAGAAAGCGCCCCTTTGTCAAGCTTGCGAGCACGGCGTCGGTAAATGATTAGCCTGCAGTGAAATTGATATTCAGAGCTCTAACGGAGGCGCAAGAGCCTAGGAAAAGCTGCACATCCGCACTTTACAGTGGCGTTCGTGATAGGGCTGGGAAACAGTTAGAACGAAACGAAACAAGTAATGGAAACGTGATTTAACCAGCCGATCAAAGTGCTACACTGCTACAGCTAGGTTATAAAACAAGGAGCGATCAGACTGCGAAATCTGCACACTGGCATTTTAACGAGCTCGCCCTCCCTTGTGCGAATGCCTTAAAAAAATGCAAGATACAAGTTTTAAATAATATCCGATAACCCTGGTGAACGAAAGAGTTCTCTCTTCACGACGCGAAGAAGCACACACTGTATTTCACGATTTCGTGAGGTTCCCCGTCGCCGATTAGGACCAATACGAATCGATGCGTGTTTTAAACACGACTTGCCGTTTCAGCCGGCCCATGCATTGCCTGCCTGGAGTTACACGCCCGGGACGGCACACACATGGGCCTGGGCTTTAGGACTTGGGTTTGCGTGTGTGTGTGTGCTCCTTGACATTAAGGGCGCTTTGTTGTATAGGAGTGTGTTTTGTGTGCCTGGCCTGGTTTCGGTGTCGCCCTCTTCACCCCCTTGTTTGCCTGCGTCCCTCTTATTAAGGTTTAATAAGGCCGCACAGGAAATGTTCGTTAAGGAGAGAATCAAACGCAAAGAATAATGGACCGGCTTGGCAGCTGCTTCTAATCTCCTCGCGGGCCTCTGTCCGCACCCCACAGCCTGCCTTGCTAAGCCTGATCGCTTCCTTGCCAGCGGCTCCGCCCGGGCCGACTGTCCTCTGCGGAGCGGTTCACACTGAAACTCTTCTTCAGCTCCGCACACCGGTCTTGAGGAAGACCTGCTCCTGGCCCGGAATGCATGTCAGCGGGCCTCTGGAATCGCTGTTAATTTCACTGCCGTCTGTCTTATCATAGCGCCATTCCTACTTGGTGTCCAAAGAAATCATAAAACACGTGAAAAAAGCGTGTTGTCGTTGGATATATTTAAATACAGCTACAATCTACAGGAGAACAGAAAGTGACAGAATCGGTCGATTCTAAGGTAAAAATACACGAATAAAGTACATCAAAAACTATTACCACAGACGTCAACACACAGACAAAGGTATCTGCCCGTTTTTTTTTTGTTTGTTTGTTTTCTTTCCTTTTTGTACAAAATATGCAAGATTCGCACTCTACAAAAATGAAGAAAAGCCGTGAGGGAGAAACACAGGAGAAGGGGACGATCATAAATTACGACTCAAAAGAAAAGAAATCGCAGAACCGAAGAGGAATAAAGAAAATTCAAGTACGTTCCTCTTGTCACACGAGTTAGAAGTTGATTTTTTTTGTCTTATCGCCACTTTGTCTCTTTGCATTTCGACGTAGCTTTGAAGGCGAAACACAACAACAGAAAAACAGTTTTTTTTTCTAGTCCAAGCAGCCGGTTATGGATACACAATGGGGGGGGGGACCTTTAAAAATCCGAGCAACGTTGCACATTCAAAGTCAATAAAACGGCTTCGGTCGAAAGGAAAAACGTTACATTTAAACACAACGAAAAGACGACAAGGAGAGGAGCGGGTTGCCGCAGGATGCGAGCCGGGGCGGGAAGGTCTCTTTTCCCCTCGCGGCGCCTCGGTCTCTCACGGCTCATTGCTCTCGCTCTTCTCCTTGTTCATTTTTTTCATCTTCATCCTCCGGTTCTGGAACCAGATTTTGACCTGTCGCTCCGTGAGGTTGAGGACGCGGGCCACCTCGTAACGTCGGTCCCTGGTTAGGTACATGTTAAATAAAAACTCCTTCTCCAGTTCTAGCGTTTGGTATTTCGTGTAAGGACACCGCTTCTTCCTCGTGGAGCGCGCGTGGATCCAGTTTGCCACTGGATTGTCTGGGGGGGGAAAAAGAAGACAAGACTTTTTAACTCGAGGAAGAGAATTGTATTTTTTTTAAAATATTTTGCTGAAACCGAGGCCGAGGTCTTCGATACAGGTGAAATGCATTTGTTTAAAACATGTCTCTGTTTTTTTTAACATTAAAAATCGTCTGGGTTTTTTTTTTTTGTAACGTCGCTGCCCTTCATAATTCTGGCCTGCCTGAAACACATCTCAACCCCTACGGTCTACTCTTAAGTTCAATGATAACTGCGCTGTTTTGTTTATGTTCATGTAGATCATACTGCCCCCGCTTAGTACAATACAACCAGCCTCCCACTATGTCCATTTTCATAGCTAGGGGCCAAATAAAAATGAACTCTTTTTGTCATATCTGTGCCGTGTTTTAAGACGGCTGAGGAGGGATAGTCGTAAAATCGTGAATGCGCTCATTCGCTTTATAGGCCCATAAACAGACTTAAACGCCTTTGCTTTTAGTCATCGAACGACTGCAGTCCAACACCTCTCTCCAGCTCTCATCCCTACAGTAATGCTTCTTGTTCTGCACTTTAAATCTTTATATTCTGTCCTTATAATTAGTACGAATTTTGGGGAGACAGGCGGTGTCGTCAGTCATAATCACACGAATGTTTATGGGCGCGTATGACAATGTTGTAAAGCCGCATATTTTAAGACAAGACTTCGGGAAAAGGACGTTTCTGACGTGCAGAAGCCGAGGGAGAAGCCGAACTAGCCGGGGTGAACTACCCGGCCCAGTCCGGAGCCCGGGAGCCCGTCACTGCCAGACCGGCCCGGGCCACAGCCTCGCTTGCCGGGGACCGATCTGCAGGCCCGGGAGTCAGTAAAAGCAGACCTGTCTGCACTGACTGGAGCTCGGCCGTGTGGGCTCCGCTCTGTCGCCTTGTCTTTCTCGTCTTGAAATCTCCCAGCCCTGAAGTCTCTGATTTATTTCATAGTTCTATTAATATTTCAGTGTAGGAACG